TTTCTTTCTTTCTTTCTTTCTTTCTTTCTTTCTTTCTTTCTTTCTTTCCTTCCTTCCTTCCTTCCTTCCTTCCTTCCTTCCTTCCTTCCTTCCTTCCTTCCTTCCTTCTTTCTTCCTTTCTTCCTTTCTTCCTTTCTTCCTTTCTTTTTCTTCCTTTCTCCCTCAAAGGCCTCCCTGGAGCCTCCTGGCAGCCAAAATGGGTGGGTGGTGGGTGGGCAGTGCTGGACACCCCCCTCATGCCCCATTTTGGGCCTGGAAAGCCTACCTGGAGCCTCCTGGCAGCCAAAACAGAGCATCGGGGGGTGGGTGGGTGGGACCAGCTGGTCATTGGAATTACCAGTTTTGAGAACTGGATGTAAAATTAATATCCAGTTTGCCTGAACTGGCTGAATCCCTCCCCTGGCCAGGATCCATCAGTCCTGAGGCAATGAAATTGCTTCAACCCTGTTACACTGCTGCTGTTCAACATTGCCATAGTCCCCAGCAACTGGCCAGCACCTGGATTGGACATCATGACCAGTGACTTGGGGGGAAAGGTAAAACTTTTATTTTTAATTAGGTGAAAGCCATGGGAAACCTCAGAGTCAGCTTTCACCAGTTCATGCCAATATGATTTATTCCAGGTTTATTAGCATTCTGAAAAAAACATTTTTTTTGCTCTTTTTATTTTTGTCTTTTTCCATTATATTTAACTTATGCTTAATCATCTCCACTTGGTTTTTTAAGTTTACCTTTTATGGTTCTTTTTGTAACTCTACTTCAAGTCTTTTATATTCTTCTTCTAAAGTCTTTTGATATTGTTTCTTTTTCTTACTTTTCTTCGCTATATAAGTTATAGTTAGTACCTAGTATAAGTTTTCTCTGTATCCCACATGTTTTGTAATGAGGTCTCCTCTTTTCTGTTCTCTTTTTAAAAAATCTGAGATTTCAGAATATAGAAGAGAAATTCCCCTATGAAAAGAAAAAAATATTTTTCAAACTACAAAGATTAAAATTGGACATAATACCACTTCAAGAAGTACATATTAAAAAACTCCATAATAAATTATTGGAGTACCCTAAATTGGGAAAACTATTCTCCTCGCTATCGCACCAAAAAAGAAGAGGGGTGGCATTATATATTAAAGAAACAATAAGTGCCAATCAAATTTTCAAAGATGAAGAAGGGAGAATTTTGATGGTGGAAGTGATCTTAAACCAAAAACAGATACTCTTAATTGCTATCTATGCACCAAACAATGGACAAGAAGAATTTTATTAAAAATTTCATACTCAAAGATACTTGAAACAGAATATAAAAATATTTGTCTTTTAAGATTTTGCAGTGCAATAGTTGATACAAAACTTGACTATAAAAGTAGCAAAACAAATTAAAAAATAAGAAAGACTTTACCTAGAACTTTGGTTAAAATGACAGAAGAACTATCTATACAAGACACGTGGAGAGAAATGAACCCAGGGAAAACCAATACACTTTTTTCTCTAACACACATCAATCTTGGTCCAGAATGGATATGATTCAGATGACTTCGGAACTAAGTGCAAATATGCAAGAGATAGAAATAGAAGCAAATTTATGGGCCGATCATACTCGAGTTAAAATTAGCTGGAAGCAACAAAGAGAAGAGTAAGATGGACTTTAAATCAGTCCATATTAAAAGACAAAGAATTTATACAGATAAGAGAAAGAGAAATTGGAAACATATTGTCACTGCAACAACCTGGGCAGCTAGCCCCCCACCCACCCACTGCCTTCATCAGTGCAATCCATCCCAGGACCATGACAGAGCCCACTGAGATGTTGAAGAGCAGCTAGCCTGCCCAGACAGCTCCAAATTCCACCGGGTTGGTAGGTGCCTCCCCGTTGGGCTTACTATCCTGGGCACAGCTGGGTTCAAGCCAGCTGGGCCCAATGGACCCCTGCCCTGATGCCACTGATGCCCCTAGCAGCGCCTCCACCACCAGCCTGGCCTGCTGCCCCATGACAGTTTAAAGCAGCTTTTGACAGGGATCCAGACAAGCTGGCATTCTTCCTAAACCGAGTATAGGCCCACATCGATGAATATGGCCCTGACTACCCAAGTGATCAATCGATGATCCAGGCAATTACAAAGAAATTCAAGAGGGAAGCAGCGGAGTGGATGAACCAACTACACAATGAGGACGTGCCAGAGTTGGGAAATGTCGATTCTTGTTTCCTACAGGAGCTGAGGGACAGATTTAAGGATGAATCCCAAGCCCAGGAAGCTGAGGCAGAGATCAAGGAGATGAAGCAGAGGGGCTGCCCTGCCAAAGAATACACCCGAGAGTTCAGAAGAGTTGCTGGCAAACTGCAGCACTGGCCAGAGCACCTCCTAGTCTACTTTTTAAGGAAGTTTTGGACAAGGAACTGCACCTGGATTGTACAGCATGACCAATGACTTGGGGGAAAGGGGAAAACTTTTACTTTTAATTAAGTGAAAGCCATGGAAAACCTCAGAATGAGCTTTCACCAGTTCATGTCAATATGATGTATCCAATAAACTATTATTTAAGAAGCTTGAGTGCCTCAGAGTTTGTTTTCTATGGGCGCATTACTTGGAACCCTGACACCAGTCTAGTGTTATCTGCAGATTTGATGAGTTCCCCTTCTATTCCTTCATCTAAATCATTCATGAAGATGTTGAAGAATACTGGGCCTAAAATGGAACCTTGGGGTACCTCACTGCTTACTTCTTTCCATGTAGAATTTATTCCATTGAGGATTACACATTGAGAACAGTTTGTCAGTCAGTTACATATCCATCTGTTGGTGATACTGTCTATCTCACACTTTTTAGCTTACCAAAGTGGTCTACTTTGTTAATGCCTTATTGAAATTCAAGTATATTATGTCCACTGCATTTTGCTGGTCCACTAATTTAATCACTTTGTCAAAGAATGAAATAGCAATAGCACTTAGGCTTATATACCACTTCACAGTGCTTTACAGCCCCCTCCAAGCTGTTTTACACAGTCAGCATATTGCCCCCAACAATCTGGATCCTCATTTTACCCACTTTGGAAGGATGGAAGGTTGAGTCAACCTTGAGCCTGGTGAGATTTGAACTACCAAATTGCAGTCAGTCAGCAGTCAGCAGAAGTAGCCTGCAGTACTGCACTTTAACCACAGCTCATCCACGGCTTACCAAATAAGATTTGTTTGGCATGATGATCTATTTTTGAAAAACCCTTGTTGGCTTGTGATTATAACTTTGCTTGCTTCTAGGTGTTCACAAATCTGTTGCTTGATTATCTTTTCCAGGATCTTCTCAGGAATTGATGTTTGGCTGATTGGTCTGTAGTTCCTGGATATGGTTCAATGGTTATGAGATCACATCTGCCAGATACTTCAGAAATCTGGGAACTAATCCATCAGGTCCCAGTGATTTGTACTCATCCAGAGTGGACAGGTATTCTCATACCATTTTCTTTCTTATTTTAATTTGTATTCCTAGCCTGTCTTTTATAGTTATGTTTTTGGAAGGTTGGGCTGTATTATCTTTTTGTGTGAAGACAGATGCAAAGAATGAATTAAGCAGCTCTGCTTTCTCTCTACTGCCCATTATTTCCTTGCCATCTTCACTCATTAGTGGACTGAATGTTTCCTTGACTTTTGTTCCAAGTCTTACTTAATTCTGAGCCTTAGCTTTCCTGACTTCATCTTTGCAAATTTGGGCTATTTGTTGGTATTCTGCTTAGTTATGTGTCCCTCTTTCCATTTTTTGTACTTGTCCTTTTTGTCTTTCAATTTATCAGAGATTTTTTTTTATGTAGCCATGCTAGTTTCTTCTTGGATTTCTTGTTTTTCTTTTTCAGTAGTATTGAGCTGGATTGGGCTTTTATAATTAATTTTTCAGAGTTTCCCAGGCTTCTTGAGTTGCTTTCCCCTTTAAGATTTTCATCTATGGAATCCTTCCCAAACTCTCTCTAAGTTTGTTGAAATCAGCCATTTTAAAGTCTAAGACACCAGTTTGATTGCTTGTATTTGCATTGTACTGAATTCCAATATGACATAGTCACTCTCCCCCAAAGTTCTGGCAACTTCAACCCTCTCTATTTCTTGTTGTCTATTAGTAAGAATTAAGTCCAATATAGCTGTTTCTCTAGTTCACTCCTTTACCTTTTGGATGACAAGTTGTCAGCTAGGTTGGTCAGGAACCTATTTGATCTCCCACTTGATACAGTGTTTGTCTCCTAGTTGACATCAAGGTACTGTGTTTCTCCAACAATACGGCCTCCACCAATAGGAAGGCCCAGCATGATTTCTAGGCATGAGGTGAAATTAAGCCCCGTCCCCAAAATTTAGGCCTATTCAAACCATGCTTTCCCCCACCATTTCTCACATCGTTTGTTAGAACTACACGAGGTGAAGAGAAATGGGTGGGGGAAGGGCGGGGGGATGGGGAGAAAACTTGCCTTTAGGAGTGCCCTGCAGGTAGCCTAGGCTAGAATACCCCGATAGCCGATAGAAGCTCCCTGAAGGGAGAGTCCCCAGCCGCTTCAGGGCGTGGCGTGGCTACCCGTGTCCCCTCGCCTTTAGGGCAGTCTCTTTTGGGCGATGGAAGTTCCCCAAATGCAGTCACCAGCTACTTCAATCGGCCGGTAGAAGCGGCCTCGCAGCGAGGGGAGTGTGTGTGTGCCACGCCTCGCCCTGAAGCGGCTGGGGACTCTGCCTTCAAGGGACCTTCGATCGGCCGGTAGAAGCAGCCTCGGGGCGAGCGCACACACACACTCCCCTCGCCGCGAGGCTGCTTCTATTTGCAGACGAAAGCTCCCTTGAAGGCAGAGTCCCCAGCCGCTTCGGGGC